GAAGCCCCTCCCTCACAAGAGAACGTGTGCCCCCCCCCCCCACATCCTCTCATGGACTGGTACAAAAACTAACCTTTACGTACTCACCGAGCGAGGGGAGGACTCCTGAGACTGGATTCCAAGGGTTCTTTAAAGCCGGATAAGCAAGTTCTTGATGGCTTGGAAGCATTTTCTCAGGATATGGGATTTAACTAACACCTTAGCGAGGACCCTAAAGGAGGGGGCAAATTTACTTCTGGGGTGGCTCTCAGAAACCTGGAAAAAACAACAGCTAACTGTCAGCACACAGAAAAGCCTGAGTCCTGGCAGTTGGTAAAGGAAGGAATAAAAAGGCTCAGAGAGGTGACAGGCTGGAATGGATGGATTACAGGAGGTCCCGATGGCACACCAGTCATCAAGGACATATGATCTGACAAGAGGACCACCGGCATCACTGAGAGGCCTAGTGGTGGCTGCCACTGCAGCCAGGGATGAGAGGAGGTGAGGCAGTCACAGATGGGGTTCATTAACACCCATGGGGAGGACAAGACCCCAAAGTAAGAGAGGCTTGGTGATGGCACTTTACTTCCAGAAACCAGGGGGCCACAATTACCATAAGGACAAGGAGTGGCCATGGGGATTTGACCTGCAGGGAATTATGGAGATGGTCAATAGAATATTCTGGCAAAATTGCTGGACAGCCAACAAGGCTGTTGACTGCACCTATTAAAGAAAACAAAATGGAGGATGCGGTTAAGGGCAATCGTCTCGACAAAAAGTCAGCATCCTTGCTCCAGTCCCCAGACCTAAGTAGATTATTAGATCCAGAATCTGCCAGTTCCCTAGGAAAAAGGGCCCTGCAACACCAGGGCAAGTCTATAGCATGACAATTCCCCCGGAGACCTGTGGCCATCCAGTCAGTCGGCTGTATTGGTCAAAGTGGTGAAAGCACCTACACTGGTCAAAGTGGAATAGCCAGACATTTGGAGGACTTATCAGACGTAGGTCTGACTTGACAGCGATACTCAGAGGCCCAATGTGCCACCAACCCCCTTTAGCGTGGGGATCTTGAAGGGCCACAGTGGCTCCATGCCAGGGGTCCTTTCCCCAGTCCTCAAGTGCATAACTGGAATTGACATATGTGGCTGTTGGAGTAAAGCCCACATGGGGCTCCTGGACTGTGGGATAGGAATGATCATAGTTGGGACGGCCAAATGGAAACCTCTAAAACTGCTCCCCCACCCCCCCACACACACGTGGCCAAGTTAGAAAATCATTACCGTTTCCAGGTGGGTAGCTGAGATTACTGCCACCATTAAGCCCTTAAGGATGCACGATTGGTAGTCTCTGTCACGTCTTTATTTCATAACCAGTCTGGCCCATGCCAAAAAAGGAAAGGATCCTGGAGAATGACCGTAGACCCCTGTAGATTTAACCAAGTAGTGGCTCCAACGACAGCTGGCGTGTCACATGTGGTGTCCGCGCTAGGGCGGGCTAATTGGACCTCGGGTATCTGGTGTGCAACTACGGACCTGGCAAATGTATCCTTTACGGTCCCTTAAGAAAAGAGGGTCAGAAGCAGTTCACGTTTACATGGAAAACAATATTCAATTATCTGCCCATCTTATAGAATTCCCAAGTACACATCGTCATACACAGAACCAAAATAGCAAACCAAGCCCACGTCTGGGCTGCTCGCAGAGTCTGGGACGCCATGCTGTTGTGGGACCCCGGTCCTTCTGTACCAATTAAGAATGAAACAGCCACCTAGGGCAGGTGATTGCCCAACTTTCAACAAGGATGATCTCTCTCTCTCTCTTTTTTTTAAATGTTTTTATTCATTTTTGAGACAGGGAGAGACAGAGCATGAGCAGGGGAGGGGCAGAGAGAGAGGCAGACACAGAATCCGAAGCAGGCTCCAGGCTCTGAGCCGTCAGCACAGAGCCCAACGCGGGGCTCGAACTCATGGAGTGTGAGACCATGACCTGAGCTGAAGTCGGACGCTCAACCGACTGAGCCACCCAGGCGCCCCAAGGATGATCTCTATCTTAGCACCAATACGGAATAATTCTGGAGACGTGGGAAGCACAGCATTGACAGGTGAGCCGTGTGGAACTCTTACCTCCGAGCCAGGAAAAACGAAGTGTCTTGCATGAAGTGATCATCCACTCTAGGTCTACAGTGCTGGTGCCCTGCCTGGGCAGCCTCCTCAGCAGCCGCTACCCAAGACTGATCAAACACAAGTCGGTACAACTATCAATGGCTGAAAAAGCCACTTTGTCAGTAGAGATACCTAAGACAAAACCCACAATTATCCTCTCAATCTTTCCATGGGGTTTTCTTCTCGGTTGGCAACTCTGAACCGGAAAACAGTTTCAAGATGTCCTGTAGAGTGTACATTGTGCCTTTTAACCCTGGACTACCTGTCAGGCTGCAGCAGTCAAGATGCACCCCCCCCCCCCCCCCCCCCCCCCCCCCCCCCCCCCC